GGTATTTACTCCACATCAAGGACATTTCTCTTTGAAACTCAGAGAACTTGTTACAGAAAATCATAACCAAAGAAATTTCTGAGTCACAGAGCCCAGTCTCAACAGATAGATCAGCAATGTTTTCCCACACCTAAGACTAGTGATACATTATGGATGGGAGGAGGGGGAGGGCAGAAAGATTGTAAGAACCAGAAAAGCAGGGAGTTTTCTGTGAGGTTACTCATCCTAGTTATATCAGAAATACCACCCATTAAGCCTCACTGACATAATTGCTCAAATATGAGCTGAATAAGGGTGACATCCATGAACATGTCAAGCAAGACACAGAGAGGCCACTGGGTCTGAACCCTACACAAAGAAGTATAAGCAACTGTGGAAGGATGGGAGAGGGAGAGGATGTCTTCTTCTGGGAAGAGCACACCCATTTTTGTCCAGTGCCAAGTAGTCATGCATATACATGACATTTTATGGAACGAACAGGTTGTAGTTAGGAATATGTATGTTTATACAGAAGAGCATTCAATAGCAATTAGTTAAAAAAGGAGAGGTCATGGATTTGAAAAAAAACATCAAATATCTTGGAATAAGCAGTGTCTTGAAAGAGGAAAGAAAAGAGAAAACTAATTTAATTGTAATCTCAAAAATTAAAAAAAAATCAGTAAAATAAGAAAATCTACTAATGTCATTTTGCTATATAAGTATAATTCCTTACTATATTCTAAAATATAATTTTAAGTAACAGACAAGATTTTGTGTGTGTGTGTGTGTGTGTGTATGTGTGTATGCATGCATGTGTATATGCATGTGTGTGTTAAAACAATTTTTGAGTTGGGTGATAATTGCGCCTTTAATTCCAGCATTTGGGAGGCATAGGCAAGCGGATCACTGTTTGTTCAATGCCAGGCTGGTTTACAAATTGAGCTCTACTACAGCCAGGGCTATATAAAGAACCATGTCTCAAAAAGCAAAAAAAAAAAACAAAAAAAAAACAAAAAACAAACAAACAAACAAAAAACAAAAAGCAAAGCAAAATTGAAGGTGTGCATGTTTTACTTACAGTTTCTTCATTCAAAAACACACCTTGAAATATGTTTTACTAAATTGATTCTACATATATAATTGTCATACAGTAAAATTCTTCACATAAAATTGATTGCTATGGACAACTTACTATTTATAGACCTGGATAGAGAACTGGGACCTTAAGAACACTTGGAACAGTCATGAGAACTGATATTCACCAGCACTTGCAGCAGGTGGCTTGCATAAGGTTGTAATTTCAACTTAAAGGTATGATATCCTCTTATGACTTTTGTGGGTACCTGTGTCCATAAATTCCCATACAGAGACAGGTGCACACAGATGCATCATAAAGATCTTAAGGCTCAGTGCCCATTGTATCCTGAAGTGGAGGTGTTTCTACTGGCTGTTTACTTAAGAGCCTTCTGCGTTTTTGTTCCAGTGCACCTTTAATGGGCTTCTCAGGATGCAAAATCGTAGTTAAGAGATCCTAGCTCACTTCTAGCTGTAGTGTTGCCTGGCTCATGGTTATCTAATGATATCTTCCTTAGGTCTTTAAGAAGAAAGATAAAATAAATGGTTATTCCTCGCATTTTTGGGACTTTTATTTCATTAGCATGAGGGGACCCAAGTTGATCACACCTGTTAATTTATGCACCATTGTTTCAGTGGAAGTCTATGATTACTCCTCCATATGAGTGATGTAAAGATGTAATGATGTAAAACAAATGATGCAAAGAAGACTGAGAAATAGACATCAATTTGGGGTACTTTTTCATTTTCAAACACAAAGCAGGAACCTGGAATTCATGTTAGCGCTGACGAAGAACAGCTCAAATTCAGTGGGAGAGACGACTTGACTTGACCTTCTTCCACATATACAGACACATATATAAAGTTTATTCAATATTTATTATTATCCAAAGAATTATGGATTTGATTGTCACACATGCAATAGTATTAGGAGGATGTAGATATTGTATGAGTCAAGAGTCTTTATTACATAAATGTTATAATGAAGCTATTCTTTTCTTGGAGTTATCTAAAAATATGCCCAAGACAGTGGAAATCTGGTAATGATCAAGGTGAATGACAGAATTTATACAGCACAAGGGTAGCCTTTCAACCACAGATCTGCTGGGCTGAGAAACCACCCCATCATACCAATTCTTATTTTTGATTTCAAATAAGAAAGTCACTTTTATAAGCATCATTGCTTCCTGAAACTTGAAGGTCCCATGTGACCTCTCTTCTATTAATCAATATGCATTGTGCTGTGCACAATATGTCTTAAATACCTACTTATACCTACACACCCTGTACTAGTTTTTAAGCTCCTGACAGAAAAAAGTATGTCCTCATGACCAGCTACGTGCATAATATCTCATAAGGAAATTTGAGTGCAAATTTATGGATGCCTGACTAAATATACTATTTATTTACATTTCTTATATAAACCTCCAAATAAAATTTACAAGGCCTCCAATCAAGGAGTCATGTGCTATACTGTCCTGTATCCCCCAGTATCAGATCATTGTTAAAAATGCGCGGGCTGTGGTAAGATCAGGGTAGCACTCTTCCTCTTTCTTTAAAATGCTTCGAAACAAACAAACAACCAAACAACCTGTAATGTGAGACAGCAATGCAGAATGCCCTTCAGGGGAACTCATGAAGCTTGGAAACAGGTCATTTTGAGTATGTGAAGGAACTCTTAAGAAAGAAGTTTGAGAAGAGGAGAATGCTTCCATGGGAATAGTTGCTGAGAGTTCCCAGAATGTCACTTATAGCAGTGTAGCCTCATACCCTGCTCTTTCCTGGTCTTAGCCAATCAGAGCTTTGCAATAAACAATAAGTCAATAAATGTGAAGGTTGGACCAAGTCACAAAGTAGTGATCTCCAAAATTGATAGTCACTTTAATGGGGAGCTCACCAACACCTAGAAGATGAGATCCTCATCTATCAAAACAGTCCCCTAGCTGTCAAATTGTTATTGTCAAAGACAAAAGCAAACATCCAGGACACACTAGTTATGGTCAAACTGTGTGAAAGTGAAAAAAAAAACTTTGACAAGAATAAATATCTGTAAGCAGTAGTAGTGAGGCTAATAGAATCACTGCAAGTAGCACATTTAGAAAAACAGATTAAGATGCTCAAAATCTATTAGAAAATTTAAAAATATAGATGCATATGATCCTTTTTGATGAGCAGATTCCCCAGTTGGTTGCTCTATGATCTCAGAGACTAATTAGACTGTTTTATGTCACAGAATAATTTGCAGATGTAATTAAGTTTCTAATTACATTTCATGAGAATATCCATGTGATCAAATTCTGGTCACAGGACTCTTAAAAAGGTAGAGTGTTTTGTTAAAGTCTTGGAGATGAATTGCAGTGACTACTTTAAATGTAAGATGGACTTATAGAACATGTAGACAGATGACTCTAGGGGCAGAGACAAGATGTGGCTTAAGGTCAATAAGGTATATATATATATATATATATATATATATATAATGTATGCATATTGTTGTATTTTATGTATATACACATACATATATATCAATAAGGGATAAACATACAAACACACATTTATGAAGAAAAAATATATTCCCTTTGCTGAGACCTAATGTACTATCAGACACACATTTATGAAAATATTAGGAATACCTTAACAGTGTATTGTAAGTTTTAAAACAAATAAATTTTGCTTTGATTGGAAACTACAGAGAAAAATTTAGTTAACTTCTGTATAATGTCAACAATCAACTCTCACATGTTTTTACATCTTCTTATTACCTAGAAGTATTCAAAACTGATCATTATGTCTTTTCAAATGTGAAACTTTTATTCATTCATTCATTCCTTTAATAAATAATTAATTAATCAATCATGATGGGGTTTTGCTATGTAGTCCTAATTGGCCTAGAATCCCAGGTATAACCTGGTTGTCTCCAAAACTGCTGTGTCTTCCTTGCTCAGCCTCACAGGTGGTGTGATCACAGCAGCAGGACACCACACTGAGCTCTGTAGCACTCCAAAATCATATCTAACACTACATTCTTCTATTTCCAAAAAATAATCCTGGTGTATTTGGCTGCTCTCTCTCAGTAGCTTTTCCCACATCTCTCTGATGAGGCTACTTTCAGGCCTAATTTTTTCACGCTTCTGACATTATGATGAGCCAAATCACATTCTCCTTACCTCTTTCTCAATCTACTTTTCTTCAGTAATGCCATAGAATGTCACTCCAAGGCTTTTAAAATCACAAAGCTTTCTTCTGAATGAAATTATTTAGAGTTCTCATTGCCTATTTAACAGTACTATTTTTTTATGTCTACAGTCACAGGCTTCTTAAGCAGCTTCTGTTGCCCTTCCATAATTATGTAATATTTATTCTCTGGGCTATCAATTACAAATTGTAGTGCAGTTAACAAAAGTCCATTGAATTCACCCTTGATTCATTACATGTCAACTTAGATCATAACATGATTTATGCACAAGATGCTTGTCTACTTCTTACCTAACTTTTTTCTTTTCCCCAAATGCGTTTCATATTCCAGATTACCCAATAAATCCTTCCATAAATATTTTATGTAAAAGTGTTTTTATTCTATTGCCAAATTTCAATGACTCTTGAATAAATTATTTACATAAACTTGGGTACTTGGGCTCAGACTTCAAGTTTGGTTTCACAATGCACAATGTTTTGAGGGAAATTTAAGATTTTTATATTATTAAATATTTATGGAGTGGAATAAAAATGAATTAATTGCTGATGAAATGTAGTAGGAACTAAATTTTTACATTAAATCATCGATTATTTATGAAGATTGGAAAGTTCTGTTGATTCTAAGTGGCATAATGTTTATGACATTTGCCGGAAGACAATGCCAACTACGTCATTGGCCTGTGCCTTTCATTTACTCAGCTCAACACTGAAGAATGATGAGATGATGGCCAGTTTGGTGGAATCAGCCCCATCTACCATAATTCTATGGCCAAAATGCAGATTTGATGCCACAAAAGTTCTTCCTCAGCTTCATCTCTTCTAACAGTGGCTTCAGTTAGCAGTAACTTCCGCTTGGAAAAATAATACAGTTGGTACATAAATCCAATGCACTAGTAACAGTGAAATATTATGAATAGTGACAGGATACTCTGATTTCTTTAAATAATGAAGGTCTTTGCTCATTAAGTATAATAATGAATGTAACAAACAAAGAAACAAAAAACCAAAACCAAAGAAAACTACTTTGAAAACTATTTCAAAACAAATGCAGCCCATTCTGTAGATACTGCTTTTCTAGAAATAGAATTTCTAGAAATTCTAGAAATAGAAATAGAATTTAAAATAATTATATTCCTTCGGATTTCTAGAGCAAAATATTAAATTTTATAAATGATAGGCAGTAAGCAAGATCAACATACATATTCACTCAGTCATACTTTCATATATTTAAAATAATTTAATACAAATCCAATTTTATCGTACATTTCTTTTGTGCAGTGTCTAGAACTGCGCTCTCTATTCAGTCTCAGATTGCTAACCTAATTTCTCTCCAGAAGTGCTCATCTCCACTGCTTTGCACTTTGGCTTCACCACTTTCTATTCATTGACCTCAGTGATGCTCTATGGCTCTGTTGCCTCCCATTTTGTCTTCTGTAATTTTTATTTTGGCTTCAATAACATTGTAAGACATTCCATTCTCCTTGTTTTCATTATTTGTTACTTTGGTTTTACATGGGTGTAGAAGGGTCTGTAAAGAGTGACTCTTTATCCCCCTCCCCCCTCCCAGTTAAATGCTTTCTTGTGACTAGAGAACAAAGTCAAACACCCCCAGCTTGATAATGAAGGAATGTAAGGAGGAAGACATGGCTCCCTTCTCAACCCTCATTTCTCACCCTCTTCACAGCCTATCTGTGCCATGACCCAGGTCATCAGAGTCTCTGTCACTCCCCGCATCGTTGTCTTGTACTATGAATATACAACATTGGTTACTCCTATTCCTCTCCCTTTCTGTTCTTCCCTACCCATGTGTTTGTGTGTGAGGTCTATGAATTGGGGAAGCTTTCTTTGTTCAGTTCCCTACATTAAAATTCAGAGACTTTGGATATACCATATTTCCAACAGGAGGAAAATGGTTTCCAACCCTCTCTATAGCTCTGACATGCATTATTTTTTCAGCATTTTAGAATTTACCCTCCATTTCTCACTACTTAAAGACAGTAACTCCAGTTTATACTTTATTTACATGACATCCATTATGTAACACAGGGACCATCAATAAAATCTTGCTCAAAAATTCAAGTAAATAAATATTTCATTTGTATTCAAATGCTGACACATGGAGAGGGTACCCATAAACTCAGAAAAATACAGACACACGCATACACACACTGTATTAATAACACATGCAATACATTGTGAATTCCATACTGTCTGTTTCAACTTTGGTAGTTTCTCATCCCATACAGTGCAAGAATTTAAGTATTTTAGAGAACAGAGATAGTTCTGAACTTATCATTTTAAATATTACCCTATAATATATGTTATTATACAAACTCTGATTTATTCAAAGACATTACGTGTACTGATCATCTTGTCTATTATACCTAGTAATACCTTTGTTCAAACTTCTAATGAAGTTATTTAGTTTTTAAATTTAATTCATTGTCAAATACTCACAAAATTTATTTATTAGATTTATAATTCATTGTAGGTGGATCTAACTGCCAAACTATATCTTAGCAATGTTTTCATAGACTCATAAAACTTGGGGCTAGAGAGATGACTCAGCCGCTAAGAACACTTACTGACTTGCAGAGATCTCTGGTTTAGTGCCTAGCACCAACTTGCTGATCTGGGATTCCCCTCTGTATGCTGTGAATACCTCTGATTAATAAAGAAGCTATTTTGGGCCTGTGATAGGGTAGAGCAGAGCTAGGTGGGGAAAAGTAAAGTGAATGCTTGAAGAAAGAAGATGGAGTCAGAGAGAAGCTATCGAGCCCTACTGGAGACAGATGTCGGTACTTTACCTAGTAAGCCACAGCCACATGGTGATACACAAATTAATGAAGATGGGTTAATTTAAGATATGAGTTAGCCAGAAATATGCTTAAGCTATTGACCAAACAGGTCATGCAAATAATATGGTTTCTGTACGATTATTTCGGGGCTGAGCAGCCGAAAACAAACAAGATGCCTCTTACAATAATATGCTATCTCAAAACAACTAGTAATTCCAGTTACATGGGATCTGATACCCATTTCTGGCTTCCACTGACTTCTGTACATATATGACACACAGAAACTTATATACATACATGTAAAATTTAAAAAAATAAATTCCAAGTATCAAAAATCACTTAAAAATTCATATCAGATATGAGAAGACCATATTTGTGGTGTAGTCAGGATTATCTAAGAAACTCCCAAAACATGCAACATATTGCTGTCAGGCTTCACTGCTTCACAGATGTGGAAGGTAAGTCCTTTCTTGAAAACACCATGCACTTTGACATGGCCCACAAGGCTCTGAGCTGGAATTAACCTGAATGCTTCCTCCCTGAGGATTAGCTTTTTGTTATCAGAAGTCAAGATGTCATCTTCTAAAGCAACAGAACAGCCAAGTCTTACCTAGCTTTGATGCCTATGGAACCAAAACCATGACCATCTTGGCACAATAACTTTAAAAGTGCAGTAGTGACACACATAACTTGGGTTTAACCAAAAGCTCTCTAATTAGTCCTAAGTCCCACTCAACAAGAGGAAACCATGCCTGGCACTAGAAATCTATTTAATTCTTCAGTACTAGCAAGGTTATGCATCTTGAAGAACCTACAACCACCAATTTATTAAGTCAGCATAACCCCTAACATTTGTCCTTATACCCACAGTTAAGTCTAGTACACACCCCTAAACAAGGAAATTTCTGTTTTCAACAGATCACTACAGAAAGCAAAATTAAAATGCAGCTCTGTAAAGTCCAGTCTTAATGGATGCATCTGCAATCAAATTCTCACAGAAAGCTCACAGATTATTACTAAAGAGCATCAGAATGATTGTAAGAACTAGAGGACCATACAATTTGCTGTGAGATTGTATCTCCGGGGAATATCAGAAACTACACCAATAAAATTCCAGTATGACTCTCTAAATGTAAACTGAACAAGGACAAAACCCATCCAAACCAGATATGACAAAGTGGATGGGAAGGAAAGCCTACAAGGCCTTAACCCTACACAAAGAATAACAAACAACTAATGAACGTCAAGCCAGGGATAAACAGACTTCTCTGGGAAAAACACACATACTTGTTATTTGATACCAAATGTTTAGACCAAAATCATATTTACAAGAAACATTATATAGACTGTGCAAGTTATATTTAGGAATATATATGTATGTACACATACACATATGCATGCAACACCATTTGAGGACAAAAGAGGTCATGATTTTGAAAAAAACAGAGTGTATGAGAAGGTTGCAGGGAGGAAAGTGGAGTATGAAATTATGTAATTATATTATAATCTCAAAACTAAAGGAAAATGTTTTTAAAAATCCTTTCTATATAACAAAATAACCTTCATGGGCTAATATGACAAAAAACACTCAAAGAGTGCTTCTGTTGTGTATAAAGTGATATCATGAATAGTTTTGTATCATAATTGCCTTCATATTTTCTTGTGCTCATTGTAGTTCAATAAGTGTTTGGAATTTAATCATGCCTTAGCCTTTCTGTCTTATTTCCTAATATCTTATCTAATATAATATTTCATTTTTTATATCAAAATTTTACCTCTGTAAATGAATCTTTACATTTAATGCAGAAAATTAGAATGCTTTGAAAGAGTTCTGTATGAAATAGATTAGATGTTAGCCCTGTGCTCACATATTCAATTTATATCAACATTAAACACCATATAGCACAAAGTATTGTCTGTATGCTTACCATTACCTAATTGCTGAATGAACTCTCTTGACAGAAACTTGGCTCAGGGACACAGGTCCCAGAGGTACACTCTCCCTTAACCCTTTGCTTAAAGAGGTCGACAGTAAGAGGTGAGTTTGATTCTTTTCATCCCAGGTGCCTTAGACAGGGGCATGTATGATTAGAATGCATGTACTGAAGACAAATAAGTCTAGGAAAAGGGGAAAAATTTTCGTCTAAAGCAGATGCTATCATCTGATCTGTTGTAGAAGTACAGGCCTTTCTAAAACTAATAAAAAGGGAGGGATATGTGGAGGTCCAAAATGTGAACCTATTTTCACCTTGTCCAAAAGTCAGAGAGTTGGAATATATTTCTATTTCTTCAAGGTTATTGCCTGTTTCTAACTCAAACAAAGGTCCTACCTAGATTTAAATCAGAGAGTTCTGATCATTCAAGGTTATTGTTGAATACAGGGGCGCCTATTATTCACCCCTTGTATCTCAGGTGTAGAGAAGTAGATTTGTTTCTAATTCAAACAAAATTCCAAGTATCCAACTAAGTTTCTACTGCCTAAGGAAAATAATAATGGATTCTACCCAGGGTGTGGTTTGCCTGCAGTATGTTTTGGTCTAGGGTGTGAACATTACTTGTCTTGTTCTAGCAACAGAATGTTTTACTAAGAATGTAGCCTGCAACCTTCAACTGGTTAGTGAATTTCCTTATATCATGTTAATGCAGTTTTTAAATCTTACTTTTACCTTTTGGGGTCAGGGTATTTTAAGCATTTGGAAATTAAACATGGGTGATTTAAGTATTCACTGAAACTCCCTTCCAGTGTTTAAACAACAACAACAACACTTTCTTAAACTTGGATACCTCAGAACCAGCTAGATACCTGTATGTAACTAGCCTTGTTCACCGTTTCTAGCTCTGGTCTTGAAGCTAAGCATTAGTCTTAGGATTCTCAGAAAAATATTAGCAGAAAACACTACTTTCCAAGTCTTTCAATTGTTTTTTTCTCTGTGTAGCTGAATGGAATAAAAATGAAGTGATGAGTTATAAACAGAACAATGAATTATAAACAGAAGAACAATGCCCAAATCAAAAATGTATTTATTAGAAAATAGGAAGACATGGATTTCCAGGTGTCATTAAACATGACTCCCACTATCTAATATAATACT